GAAGGAGGAGGAGGAGGGTCAGGAGGAGGATGAGGGTGAGGATCAGCCCCACCTGCAGAGTGGTAGAGGGGCAGGAAGGAGGAGCAGGAGGAGGAAGAGGAGGATCAGGAGGAGGAGGAGGGTGAGGATCAGCCCCACCTGCAGAGTGGTAGAGGGGCAGGCAGTCATAGATCACGTCCTCGGGCCGCATCCGGTAGGCGTAGTAGCCGAAGGCGGCGATCCGGTAATACCTGCGGGCACCGCGCCAAGGGGGGTGCTCTGGACACACCCCCCAGACACACCCACTGACCACACCCCCTGACCACACCCACATGGGCACACCCCTGACCACACCCGCTAATCACACCCACATGACCACGCCCCCCTGACCACACCCCCCCGACCACACCCACATGGGCACACCCACACAGCCACACCCTACTGACCACACCCTCACAGCCACACCCACTGACCACACCCACATGGGCATGCCCCACTGACCACACCCCTTGTGGCCACTCCCCATGACCACACCCCCTGCTGGCCACGCCCCACTGACCACACCCCTGCTGGCCACGCCCTCCCTCACCTGCTGTGCACCACGATGGCCGCCTTGGGCATCCCCGTCGTGCCCGAGGTGTAGATGTAGAAGAGCCGGTCTGGGGAGAGGGAAAAGGGGAGTCAGGGATCTTCCCCTGGGATTGGGAATCCCCTCTGGAACACCACGGGGACACGGGGGGGGGGGGGGGGTGGAAAAAAGGGGGTTCCAAAAGGATCCAAACATTCCAGGGGGTTCCCAGAGGATCCAAACATTCCAGGGGGTTCCCAGAGGATCCAAACATTCCAAAGGGATCCCTGAGGATCCAAACATTCCAGAGGGTTCCCAGAGGATCCACAGGTTCCAAAGGGTCCCCAGAGGGGATGGGACAGGACGAGCTTTAAGGTCCCTTCCCACCCAAACCATTCCAGGATTCCCTGGGTTGGGAGCTGGGAGGGGTCGATCCCATCCCTCCATCCCTCCCTCTTCCCTTGTTTTCCACCCTCTCCTACCATTCCCAGGAATTTCCACCTGGGACTGAATCACCATCCAGGCCTTTCTCCAGGTTTGGGAGCTGGGAGGGGTTGATCCCATCCCTCCATCCCTCCCTCTTCCCTTCTTTTCCACCCCCTCCCACCATTCCCAGGAATTTCCACCTGGGACTGAATCACCATCCAGGCCTTTCTCCGGGTTTGGGAGCTGGGAGGGGTTGATCCCATCCCTCCATCCCTCCCTCTTCCCTTCTTTTCCACCCCCTCCCACCATTCCCAGGAATTTCCACCCAGGAGTGTGTCATTCCTACCGTCCAGGCCTTTCTCCGGGGTGGGGGTCGGGGGGGTGGTGGGGGCGGAATTCAGGAGCGGGTCCAGGTGTTTGGTGTCCCTGGGCACCAGCTCTGGCCGGAACTCCCCGGAGCAAAACTTCTCCATGTTCTTGCCCAGCATCCCGTCCACCTCGGCCACGGCTGCGGGGACACGCCCGGGATGGGGGGGGAGAGAGAGGGGGATCCTCAGGGTGGCAAAAATCACCCAGGGGGGGTATCCCCTGACACCTCAGACCCTCCCCAGACACCTCACCTGTCCCCTGCCCACCTGAGACCC